AGAACCAAATCTGTCACTATTAGCAGAGGTTTAACTAAATCACAGCTCCGAAGTTGTAAAGAATTTTTTGTTTTATAAAAAGCGTAATAAAGCTTAGCTGGTGTCATGCTTCATGGGGTATGCGTGACAGATTCCTCTGCCACGATATACCAGAATCTAGGCAAAAGACATGAAAAAGAAATACCTGAATTCCAGCGCTAGCAAAGTAAATAGGCGAAAATCAGGCAATCTAAAGAACTACAGGCTGCTACAGGAAAAAGGGTTATGAGCACACGGACGATGCGAGGCGCGACTCATGCAATCACGTTTAAAGACTTGCAACATGCACAATACTTTCACTTTCAAGAAAACGATGTCGAAAAAGGTTAATTTTCTATAACAAACCAACATTAATCACTTTTTTAATTGAATTCTTCATTACAGAAAATCATTAAGTTCTCAAATAAATTAAGTTTTATGTTCGTCTTTCTCTTTCTATCAATTTTTTTTTCAGTTAATACTTGCGTGACTATTAAGTCAGTGGCGAACAGTGGAAAGTATTCGCGGAAGAAACGAACAAAGTTTTACGATGGATTCATATTTAAATTAAAAAAACTTTGGAAGACCTTATTTTCATGATTAATAAGAATAACCTCTAATCTCAAATATAATCGCAAAATATATAAGCAATTCCATGCTCTCTATTAAGAAATGACGCCGAGTCAGAGGATGGATGCCATACAACCCTTCAATGTATATTATAAGACTACGGGCCAAGCAAAGAGAGTTTTGATATTTGATGTTAATGTGCAAGGGTCTAGTACCATCTCACTCGACTGTAAAGCCCTTAACGAAAATCGTTACTGGATGACTGTATACAATATCGTGGACGTAACGTGAACCATAGTATGATAGAGTCCTCTCTATTCAACTATGCGTGAACATTAATGATAATCAGTATTTGTCTGCTGAAGGAAGTGGAGTTCCAATGAGACAAAAAGTCTATCGGAAGTGTTTTGAACGAAGAAAAAAAACAAACTTAAGGTCAAGAGCACTCGCCCGTCATCTTAGCAAAAAAAAACCGAGCTGAATTCGCATGAAATACAGTTTTATGGAAAAAATTATTAAAAAAAGGAAGTCCTGCACTAGCAAGAACGTTTTCCGTGGTAACAGAGTTGAACAGATGCATCAGTTCCAAAACCTACGACACTTTCGTACCGTGACTGTGGCTCATTCTGTAAAGTCGTGATCTTTTCCTAATTCAACATTTCCCTGTCGAGGTTCAATGGGGCCGTTAACGTACCGTAATCGTTTCCAATGCATAGCACAACGTAACTTTATCTAACTATAAAATCAGTGCTTTCCACTATGGATACATTGTAAAAGAAAATAATTGTCACATTAGACTTGAGTCCAAAAAAACCCTGTTTTCCAGCATAGTTACTAACTGCTAACTATGTTTCCAGCAATTCTGGTCATTTCACTGCAATCACAGTGCCGAACACCTTCGAATGAAGATATTTCTTAAAATCCCAATTTTGACAGACTTCACTAGCAACTGAAAGAGCTTGTAGCCCCGCAGCTCAAATCCATTGAAGTGTGTAACAGGCCAAGTTCATCAGACAATTGCACGACACGAATTCATCAACAAATCAAATCCATAAAAATAAATATTTACAAATGGCTTTAGATTAGAGAACTGGAACGGTCAATATTCAAGATTAGAGAGGCGGGGTTGATATAAAACTTGTAAACAACACGAAATAGCTAAAGATTTAATAGGCACATAACAAAGCTACGAACAATTATATAGAAATATGGAAAGCAGTGAGAAATATTTAAAATATCCCTGCATTATAATGATCATCAGCTTTCGAGAGATTTCCTTTTTGAATTGCACTGTAGCTGAGGACCGCATAAAAATAGTCGTTTGACTTATATCTATTTTCATAGAAAATAATTTAGTTCAATTGTATTTCAGCGGCATAATTTCCATTGATAAACCTTTCATGGATACCGTTTGAAACGTATGTACTTTGAAAAGCCAAAGTCTGTCCTATCACTTGGCAATAGGAAATAAAGGACAATCCTGTATAGAGTTCAGATGTGGGATGGAGCTCTTTCAAAAGTCTCTAAATCCTCTCTATACCCTTGATTCCACAGTACTGCTTTTTCGAATTTCAATGACAGCCCCCCCTCTCCCCCCGGTAATGAAAACTTTGCGCCGCTCTTAAGGCTGATTTACACGGCACGATTGTCTCGTGCGATTTGTAGTATACGACTTGAATCGCGCAGTGTAAATGCCCCTACGACTTGTCTACAACAGTCGTACGAAACCTACGACTTGTAGTAGGATTTTGAACCACTACTTAAAATCCTACGACTTGTAGTAGTAAAATCGTATGCTACAAGTCGCGCGGGACAAATCGTACCGTGTAAATCAGTCTTTAAGAAATAAATTAAGAACTTTCCGACTTTTCAAAGTCAATTATTCGTTAGAGGTCTATTTGACAAAAGTTAAACAATTCCATCACAGAAGGGCCCTCACTAAGCTAAGGATAAGCAACCACGACCTAGAAATTGAGAAAAGGTAGATCAGGTGGTTCGAAAAAGGTAAAGGAATGGAAGTGCTTTCACTGTATAGCGGTTGTAGAAGATGAAAAACACTTCCTTATTAAATGCCTTCTATACTCTAATATTAGAGATTATTAAGAAAAATAGCATTCGCGATTTTATTACGGAGGACGATGAATTTTTTCTAAAATTAATAGATCCACCAAAGGCTAACAGTTGAATGCCAAAATACTAAAGTGATTGGTGTAACTGTGTTTTTGTTAATTGTTTTGCTTTTTTATCGAACTCTACTTCTCGTGAATGTAGCCAGTCAACACCTAATGAAACAAGATCTAGAATTTATAATAACACTCCAATAGACAAAAAAGAAAACAAAGCAATTAGCGACTGCTGAGGTGTATCGGTCCAATATCTACACCAAGGGTTCAAAGCCTTCGCTCCACTTAGCTGTTGATTGCGGCAAAGAAACCACAAAAACGATCAATTTGCTATCATCATCATCATCATTATCATCACCATCACATGGCAGCGTCAACGTCGCGACTGAAAATCCAGCCCATGGATTTGATGATACATGCATAGAGCTTAGCCGGGGGGGAGGGAGAGGGGAGGGAGAGGGGAGGGAGAGGGGAGGGAGAGGGGAGGGTGGTGGTGATCAATACAAAACAATAACTACAAATTATATAGCGTTTTAAGGCATATTTATTAGTAATATACTTAATATTAATAATATTCATCATTTTTTTTACTATTCTTTAAATTCAAGTACAGCCTTGTTCCTAGGATAGAAAACAATAGAATGTACAATAAATTTACACATAGATTCAAGGCTATTCTCTGTACTGGAATTTAAAGAATAGTTGATTAGCCTGCGTAGCGGCGTTGTTTACAGGATCTCAAGATGGCCGCTTCACAGGCTACCAATGCATTGTGACAATAATTCATAATATTCACTAATAATGTTCCGCAAAATATACAAAATTTCCTATTTAACCAAATTAAACAAACAATAATATTTTTAAACATTTCAAATTTGTTTTATATAAAAAATTACATATTATAAAAGGGATAAGGCACTAGAAAAGAAAAAATCCTATTTCAATACTATGTATAGGCTCAGTCTCCAGCCGTCGGGATTTCGTGCGCCCGCGATACTCTCTCCCCTGACGGCTGGGCGCATGGGGCTCGAAACGTGTCGCGCATGTCCGTGACGTTTTTGTGTAATTAGCATATTATGACGTAACGGAAGTGAATTTTTCAGTGAACGGAAGTGAAATATCTGCAACAGCCGTAAAGGTTTTGCTACAAGTTGGGAAATTATGTGAAATGAAAACTTCGCGAAGTAGCGATATAATGTAATAGTTAGCGCTTTAAAAAAGAGAAAGGAATGGAAATTACCCCAAGTAAAACATGTGTAGGGTTTAATAATCCAAATGGATGTATTATCTGCCAGAAAAACGAGCAAAATACACTAGTGGCGCTGTTTGAAAAATAAGAGATTTGCCCGAGCCAGTATAGGAAGAATAACAAGGACATCTTTTCCAAGAACAATCTCTTTAAGAGCCTTTTGCTGTATTTCTCTAAATTCGTCCAAGCTAAACGACTTCAGAGCCTTCAAACAAGCACTTTCAAAGAGAATCTCAAACGACGAATTGTACGCCATTTTGTTACACTGCTGCCTGCTAATTTATTAATGATATGCCCCTCAAAATATCGGGGGCCACTCGCTGATTGGTCAAGACTGACAATAGCGAACCTCATGCGCCCAGCCGTCAGGGGAGAGAGTATCGCGGGCGCACGAAATCCCGNTTACTTTTTACATAGTAGTGTATTCCAGTAACAGCTCAAGAAAAAATGTCATATTGTATACATCTCATTAGAAAGGCAAAATCTAAGACAGTAAGTGTTGATGGGAGAGAAAATATTACAAGTACCTAAAAGTATTTCAGTACCAAACGATTGCCTGGACTGAATACAAGTACCTAAAAGTATTTCAGTACCAAACGATTGCCTGGACTGAATACAATGACCTTCTCTTCGAGTTATGCTATAATGTAACATGTTTAAGTACATTTTATTCGAATTTCTAAGCATTGAAGATATTACCTCCTGTGACCCGTTAATTAATTGAGACACTTTCGATATTCTGTTGAATGACATGCGCAAAACAATTGGAGACGAGGCTCCGGATAAGCAAAATCAATATCTATTGTTTTCTCGTCCTCAATTCTTTTGTCCGTGGTTTGTCGACCGAAAGTGGGCTATTAGGGATATACACCCATTTCAATGACGTTGTCGGAGAGAAGGGCGAATGGAAATTGTCGAATGTAGATGGAGCCATGGGTTTTGCTAATAGGCGATATGCATTATGGCGCCATTTACTACAACTACCAGAATGCTTTGCCAACTTTCTTTTGTAATGCAATTAGTGCCAATTGTTTTATCAATCTCCAAGGGGATTAAAAATCTGAATAACAATGAAAATGCGCAAGGCTCTCTGGTAGTTGTAGTAAAGTTACGTCATAATGCAAACGGCCTATTGATAGGAAATATTTAATGTCCATTTTAACAAAAATCCAACAAGTTAAATTATGCATGTAAAACAGCGTAACCATAGTGCCTTTCGGTCATGCAATCTCCCTTTGACAATTGCTGGTCGACGTTCTCCCCGGCAACTTTTTATGAAATAGGTGTACCTGTTTTTCTATCGTTATTCCAGTCATCTGGAAAACAACAAGTCTCAGGCAGCGAGCTCATTCTTCAAAATCTTTTTTTGAAATAAAATTTGTATCGATAAAATATCGCACCAGGACGCATCCCGACGCCTCATGCTATCAAACGTATTAAGTTTACCCTGCGAGTATGGGCTGCCTGTAGTATTATCCACTGCGAGGATGGGCTGCCTGGGTCACCCTGCTATGAAAGGAAGTCCCACTGTTCAATTCTATTGAAAAACTATGATCACTGTCCGTCGAAAACATTCGTGAGGAAATGATAGACGAACTTGGCTTTCTTGTTGGTTTGCTGGCTGACTGCCCGTTTAGACAGGCTCGGATCGACATCTTTAGGCGTTCGTAGAAGTAACGTCCCAAACAGTGTTGCTATTAAAAAACAAAAGTAATCATTCCACTCGTTGTTATGGTGATTGGGACAAAGATAAATGAAGTTCATAACTGCTATAGCTGTCATTAAAAACTCTTCTAAAATCTAGTAAAACAAGAATCACGCAGTGTGTTATCGTGTCTATGATTAATATAGATTTGAAAGAAAGGTGTGAAATAGACTAATCAAACTAGAAACGATAGTTGTATTTAGCCTGCATATCGCTCTTTTCACAGAACCTGATCTGTACGTGAGGACCCAAATACGACAGGTGATAAACCGGGTCTTAAATATATCTAAAATGGTGGGAACTATAGCGGTAAACTAGTGTGAGCTGCGTCGGTGTTTCTTAAATATATCTCATATCGCGGCGTCGACCTCGTTTCCAGGGCACTGTCCCTGCGTCGTTCGGGTTTAGGCAAAGGTATAAAGAACTATAGGGAACGTAGTCCAGAACTGGACCCTCTTCTATCCTTGCGCGCGCGGAGTTGAAAACTATTATTTTGAATCAGCGTTCTCAACGGTCAGGATAAAAGAGGGTCCACTTTTCTCAATTTTCTGTAGCGCGCGCTTTGGATTTTTAACTTTTACATAGAATATTATCTATAGTAATTGAGAAAAGAGGGTCCAGTTCTGGACTGTAGGGAACGGTGCTGCATTTGGAGTCTCTCACTAGGGTTTATCCTGATAGTTAGGATATGTATAATAGGAATGGGTAAAGAACGTCTACATCTAGGCTGTAGCTTTGTCTGTATGGCAAGACAGATTCAGTTGCCGGGCCTAATTCTATTGTGCTTAAACGTAATCCAAATGTCTCGCTGTTCGCAGACGATAAATTACAAATATGGTTTTTGAAAAGGCACTAACATAGAGCTCAAATTGTTCACGTTAAATACCTAATGACTTGGCGTCAAGTCTGTTTTCAGCAGACGTCAAAAGAAGTTCTCGTAGAAAGGCTGTTAGATATGTGAAGACGTTACGATGGCAAACAGGAAGTTGATAGATAACCTGAAGACATATACAAATCTGAATAAAAGATATGAATGAACGGAAAAAGAACACAAAAACCACAAATGCATATAAAAAAGGATGAAATATTACAAATTTTGAGTGCAATTTCTGAGCTTCTATTAGGAACAATTATTTGAAAACATTTTCATGCGCCTCCAGTGAAATTTTGTAGTGCCTTCGCAGTTTTTTCCTTAATTATTTGACTATATAGTCGTTTAGGTTCGCCCCCCTGTAGGATTCCCTGGCTACGGGTTACACTGTGTTGTACATTACTGACCTGTTTGCAAAGAATGTAGTTATTGCAGCATTCTAAGGCTCGATTATAGTAAGCATAGGGTATCACGGGCATAGGAAGAGCCTCTAGAAAGATCAAAAGAGCCTCGGCGATGGAGTAAATATTACCAGCTTTAAATCAAGGTTAAGATAAAACTCTAAAAATAACATATTGAACTCTATGATTGGTCAAATACATCGACCAGTGTGATTTGTCAAATATAACGAGCACTGTGATTTGTCAAATGTAGCGAGTACTTTTATTTATCATAAAAGCGTTAGTAAGCCTCTTTAAGCGTAGTGAGGTAGGGCCATACTGGCCTGATCGCAGCAAGGCCGAACGCTTTCCCGCATGACCTTGAAAAAAGGCAGGTCGCTAGCAAAAACACCGGCGACATCACGATACTATTTTGTAGCAGCAATGCCTTTATCAAGAGAGGGTCCTGAAGTGGTAAAATGGGACTGGGAATTGTTTCATTTTGGACTGGGAAAATGAAATATAATGTACTGAGACTAGGATTTGATGCACTGGGAATGGGATTGATGAATACAAAAACAATAGAAAATGGGAATGGGATTGATGAATACAAAAACAATAGAAAATGGGAATGGGATGGAAAAATACAAAAACAATAGAAAATGGGAATGGGAGTGAAAAATTGAGCAAAACCGATAGGATTGTGTAATTTTTGACTGGGATTTGGCCAAATATATATAATGGTTAATGGGATTCGGATCCCCCCTTCAGGACCCTCTCAAGAAGATTTGTTTCTCGAGGCATTGCTCGTACTTCGTGACTTCGTGTCAGCACATTCTTGCTCGAGCACGTGCAGCACTAAAGACGTCATGTTGACTTTGTTCTGTGCCAAAACACATGCAAGGTTTTGTGCTCTGGCACCAGGTCTGAATAGTAAGTCAAGGATACGTAGTCTACCAGAGCTTCCCGTGTCAAGGTGAGTTCGTATTTCTTTGATTTCTTCTTCATATCCAGTCTGTAGGAAAATATGCGGCTACAAAATGAACGATAAAATTTGTTAACACAAGCCGCGCAAGCAGGTTTATATCCAATTGGGAATGACAGCCATAACAGCTGTTACTATACTGACTAGTCCTTTGTTCATGTAGCTATACAAACCATATTTCTATAAATGATATTGAATAGACCAATCCCAAATTCGCTCGGATGAACACGAAACAATGGCTTCATTTCGAGGTTGGAGTTTTCGACAAAAGATAAAACTCCAGCCTCGAAATGACACCATTGTTTCGCGTTCATCCAAGCGAATTCGGGATTGGTCTATTGGAAGAATTGTTGAAATTGGTCTGTTTTTTTTCGGTCTGTAATATACAGTAACGAGATGTATGAAATAAAAAAGCAATTTCGACAAGAACTTCAACAATGGACAACCTGAATGACACCAAGATCTACCTCATTAGAACCATATTTGAACAAATGATCGACGAGTAGCCATAGCTCTTTAGGGATTTCCAGGGCTTCTTTTGATGGCACTACAGGTGACTTGGGTCTGTCTTGAGAATGTTCCTTGAAAATAACAGAAAAAAATACAGATATCAATGACTCAATCAATCAATCAATAGATCGATCCATCAATCGATCGATCAGTCATTCAGTCAATAGGCAATGTGCAGCAAAGCATGATGGTATTTGTAGTCCTTATTATAGACCGTAAAATATCTCCTTAAAAGCCTTTTTCGCTCTTTAATCGTAGAAACGACAAAACAACATCTATTTTGGCTTGAAAAAGCAAAACCATTTCAGAAAGACTGTAAAATGGACATGAAAAAGTACACACACATCACCTATTAACTATAATGACTGGATGGTCAATCAATTGATCAAATGATCCAGCTAAAACTTACCAGATCGATGAGATTGGCTACAGGGACCTCCCTGATTGGTCCGTACATATGGGTAAGAGCCTCAAGAGACGATCCAAACACACTCGGTATATAGTTTCCAGTAATGATGATCTTTGGAAGTGTCAAGGTCAACCAACAGAGAGGGAGGGAATACCCTTTTTTGCATGTTAAATCATTCCCCTTATGTAACACTTTATTTGTGGCTTTCTCATTGACAAATATTTAGTGCTGTAGTTGCTGGGTCAGCGAGTGTGAAATGTTCTTTTTGGTCAAATTCTTTAGCGGCCGTCTTTTCACTATCTCTAGGATTCAGCGTAACTCTCTCTCTCTCACACCACGTGCCGACTTATATACACTCTTCCAATCCCTATGTGACAATCCCATAACACCTTGGTACACTTAGTAGACGTCACTAAATTTGTATTTTTGATTTTCAGATGTTGTTTTTCAAATTTGTTTTTTTTTCCTTTGCAGAAGTGCTTAGCAGCATGTTCTCTTTTGAATAAAATGATTTTCTAAAAGGGTTGATGTGCACTTTAAAAGCCAAATGCTTAACAATTGATGATCAGCTTTGTAAGTGATGCAGGACGAGATCATTTTTTTGAATTTAAAAAAGGTAATTGAGATATTTGCAAATTTCCCTGAATTCTTAATCAATCTTCGCATGTATCAGAGTCTAAAGATGTAGTTTTTCGGCTTTTTTAAATAATCAAGTCTATAACTGCAGCACAATCATGTCCGAGGTAAGGATACAAAGAAGTCTTTACCACCCTCTAGATGTAGAACTAGAATATCTTCCATTTTGTCACCGCCTGAGTTCAATGATCCAGCGGTTTCCTTATTGACGTAGACCGTAAACTTCACTTGTTTGGTGTTTTCTAAAAAAACAGTCAATTAACCAACCACCAAGTTAACTAATCAACAACCGTCAAACCAACCAACCACCAAGTTAACTAACCAACAACCGACAAACCAACCAACCACCAAGTTAACTAATCAACAACCGACAAACCAACCAACCACCAAGTTAACTAATCAACAACCGACAAACCAACCAACCACCAAGTTAACTAATCAACAACCGACAAACCAACCAACCACCAAGTTAACTAATCAACAACCGACAAACCAACCAACCACCAAGTTAACTAATCAACAACCGACAAACCAACCAACCACCAAGTTAACTAATCAACAACCGACAAACCAACCAA